ACCTCTGCCCAGTCCACCACCCCTTGCATTCTTACCTGGACAGACACACTAATATACATATTCCCCAACAGCCATTCAACCATTCACCAGCTCACACCCCAGGTCACATTTCAGGGTCCTGGTATTGTCATGAGTCGTCATGCTCCCGGCCCAGGTTCCTGCACCCTCTCCCATTAAAAAGTCCCACGGTCACAAACAGAGCCATGTATACCTTCCCTCTCCATCACGCCCAGCTGACCAGAGAGACTTACAGCTCCACACACCACGGCCACCCCATCTCACATACATACCCCTGGAGTGCCACTATCACCCGAATCGCATCACATACCCTTCAGTACAGTGTCACACACAGGCACACCATCATATACACAGCCCCACACCCCCACACTGTCCTCTCTGCTTCCCCTTCCAGACAGGCACAACACACCAACCCCAAAGGGACACTAGCCCCAGGCTGTCCCATATAGAAGTCCTCACCTTTCTGCACCTGCAGCTCCATGTCTCCGTGTACCCTCTGCTCCGAGTGGTGGTGCCTGAGCTCCACCACGAGGCAGCAGTACAGGCCATTGTCCATGGTGGTCAGGTTGAACATAGTGATGGAGAAATTGCCATGGTGGTCAGAGACTGACTCCAACCCGTGGTGCCGGGCCAGATCCTGGCTGGAATTGGCGGCCTGGTGGCTACCATGGTGCAGGTGGAGGTCCTGGAACGTGACATTGCGGATGGGCCGGCGATCCGAGCAGGCCTGAACCTCGCCCCGTGAGCTGCGGTACCATGTCTTGTAGAAGGTCACGTCGTGCCCTTTGGCCACAGGGCCCAAGATTCTGCAGGTGAGGGTGACGTTCTGCCCCTCAGGACACACATACAAGGAATATGGCGTGGCGACCTTGAAAGCTGCCACCAGACCTGCTCAGAGAGATGAGAACCTGTCACCTGCTTGAGCCAACGCCCCTCCCAGTGCCTATGGAGTGAGGAAGGACCTTGACCTCGGACTCCAAAGATGTGGGTTCCCCAGCCACAGGCTCCAGGCGAGTCAGCTGACCTCCCTGAGCCTTCATTTGTGCATGAACCAGCTCTATCCGTGACTTTGTGGGAGGAGCCATGACAGCTTCCTCAGCTGGGGAATCCCCCCACACCAGCGAGGCTGGTCAAGGAGTAGGAGAGACTCTGGGCAGGTGGCAGACTGAGCCCAGCCAGCGTGGGTCCATCTCCTGGGTGGAGCATGAGCTCTGGCTTCAGCTCCCACCCCCACTCCTGACCCCTCCCCGACAACTGCAGGCACTGTGGCTCTGCCCATCGCTGTCCAGTGGGAGGCAGGATAGGAAGCAGAAAGGCTGTTTGGCAACAGCATTTTGTCCTGGACCACCCCTTCTGGGGTCATCAGTGCCTTTGGCCCCTCCCTTCCCACCTCCTCATTAGTGAGCACTAATGGAGCTCCTCTGCGTGTGAGGCCTGTGCCAGGTGCTATATCTCGCCTGCATGCTGCACACATGGCCTACAACCTCACAGGGCTGACAAGGCCTGCATTCCCAACAAAGTAGGCTAAAGGGTACACTGGTGCCAACCTCAGGGCACTTGGAGGAGGGCGGACATAGCCTTCCTGGGGATGGTCAGGAGACTTCTTGAAGGAGGGAGGGTCTTTGGGGTTGATGGAAAGGTAGGGTTTAAGCAAGTAGAGAGGCTTCCCTGGGCCTGGTGGTGGGGAAACAGGAGAACCCAAGGTGTCTCGGGGACAGGGACAGGAAATGCATAAAAGGCCACCTCGTCCATGCACCTGCCTGCCACCCAGTCTTCTTAGACATATTTTCTAGTTTATTTTGTTTTCAGTAAGCCAGTGAAGCAATCCCTGGTCCTCTTTACCCTATGCCAACCCTTTAACATTTAACTGTGTTGACCCCTAAAAGCACTAGCTCTTGAAAACAGAATGCCGGGGCTGGAGTCCTGGCTCCATTATCTAGCGTTATGAGCCTCAGTTTCCTTGTGTGTGCAATGAGAAAACTATTCGCTATAACACACAGTTGGGAAAGGACTGAAGGAGGGAAAGATGAGAACATGAGATGGGAGCTCTCGTGCCCTCTGCAGACCCGGGAAGGAGAGCTCTGAGTATTATACATTAGTGATGGTTTACTTTTGATCGGCACCTCAGGGGCTGTTGTAGGCCAGGCAACCAGGGAAGGAGAGTTTGGAAATAGGTACAGAATCCAAACAGGTGTGTCCTTTTCACTGCTGTTGCTTGAACCCAAGGAAACACTTCCTCCACCAGACATTCCTCCCCTCCCCTGCCGTTAGAGCCTGGGACCAGTTTGCAGATCTGAAAGTCTCGTCCAGTTAAGAGTGAGGCAGCCGGGTGTGGATTTGGAACTGGACAAGCCTGCATTGGTGTCCATAGCTAGGAGTGACTTAAACTCTGAGCCTCAGACTCCTCACTGTAAAACAGAAACGAAAACATCTACCTGCCAGAGTTGAAGCGAGGATTACGAATAATTTACATGAAGTACTCTTGAAAGTGCCTTGCTCGCAGTTGACACTTGATATGTGGGAGCTAGATGGGTCTCTCATTCATGTCAGCACTTGAAAAAACAGTTCCTAGGGGTGCAGAAAATAGTTCTGCACAATAAAATGGTAAGTCAGCTTCGGAAGTCTTCCCCACTAAGAGGTGAATGGCTGATAACAGCGTGTGATCCAATCTTGGAGTTGCCTGCATAATTGAAGCAGAGTGTGGGAAAGCTACAAATTCACTGCCCCAAAGACTAGGTCTACACGGGTAGTTTTAGGCGCCAGGAGGTAAGGAAGACATACACACACCACAGCCTCCCAGTCACTCCATCCATATTGAGAGGGAGCCATGTCTGGGAGCCCCAGATTTATGGAAAGTCATTGCCACGGTGAGCAGAGATTTCAGAGCTTCTTTGGAAAGATATTGGTCATCTTCTTAGGCACAAATGTAGTGGCCCAGAAAGGGGAAGTGGTTTGCCTAAAGTTCCAGAGGGTATGCACTCTGAACCTGGGACATGGGGGCTTCAGGTAAAGCAGGATCTAGTTAGAACAAGAAGGAGAAGGAGAAGAAGAAAATGCATGCTAAGTGCTTTATGGGCATGTCTAACAACCCTGTAAGATAGGCATTTATTTTTCCTGTTTCACTGATGAGGAAACTGAGGCACAGAGATGTTAAGTAACTCATTGAAGACCACACAGCAAATAAGTACAAGAGCCAGAATTAAACTCAGGCAATTAGAAACTATACTGGAAAAGAAAGTTCAGAAACTGGCAGCCCACAGGCCACATCTAGCCTTCAGACATATTTTATTAGATCCTTAAAGTATTTTAAAATTTTTTTGAGATTGTTAACATTTAAAAACCAGGAATTTTATATTAAAATTTTGACTCATAGCTTTTCTTTGAAAAATCACATTAACACGAAACCAGCTTTCCTACAAGGTTATCATCAGCTAGAGCTGAGAAACAGCCTCCCATTTAGTTGGGGCACTGGTGTTCCAGTTTTTCACAGTCCTTACTGTTCCCTAATGTTTCCATCTGGCCTGCTTTACTCTCTCACCGTATTTGCTTGGCCCCGTGGACATTTGAGTTTGTGATCCATGAGTTTGGATCCTTGGGCTAGCCAGGGAGGAACTCCACTGCCCAGGCCCATCACCCTACAGATTTGACCCTCAGGCTCAGACAGATGATCCACCCAAGGTCCCCAGTGGAAGCCTGGCAGAGCAGGGACTAACTGAGTCTCCCTTGACTGCCAACCCCCTTGGAAGAGCAGCCCCAGATACCCCAGCTGTACCCCTGGCTCTGTGCCTGCCAGCCTGGATTCCCCCTCACAGACCTGCGCCTCGTGGGTGTGGCCTCAGGACTATGGCTGTGCCAGTAAGTAGAGGTGGGCAGTGGCTAGGGAAAGGACCCTCCCAGGTGCTGCCAGGAAGAACAAAAACCCACCCACAGAGTGGACCCTGCAGTAATCTCTGTCCTGCGCTTCCCACCCTCCTGTCCCTAGCAGGCCACCTGGCAGCTCCCACCAGCACCTCTCCCAGCTGGTAACCTGTGTTCCCTTTCCCAACATCACCTCCAGCCCCAGAGCTACCCCAAGGCTGGATGCTGACTCCAGTTCCAGCAGCATTTGCAGGCGTGCACACACCTTGGGGGCTCTTGGGAAGGCTGGCTCAGTACAGGCCAGGGCCACACATCTGACCAGGTTGCAGGTTAGGTAGAATATAGGCAGAGGTGGCAGCAAGAAGTAAAGCACAAAGCTGAGCCTGTGGGGACTGCTATGGGGCCGGAGGTGTGGACGGGGTGGGGCTGAAATGTAGGCAAGGTGGGGCTAGCGTATGGTGGTATGGGGCAGGGTGGAAGCAAGCAGCAGGACCTTCAGTGGGGAAGTCCAGCCCAGAGCCCTCAGGGTCCAAGCAATGGTGCGAGTGACCACAGAATTGCCCAGACGGCAGTGGGGAGGGGCTTCTCGGCTCTAGAGGCAATTTCCTTGAAAACCCACAGGGGGGCACAGAGAGAACTGGGGTTCAGAGATAGTGTGGGAAGGGGCATTGCTCAATCCCCAACCCCTCTCACACCCCAGGAGGACCTCTTCCCCTTTTAGTAAAAAACGAGAAGCTGGGATTCAGGTTTGCAGGGCGGGGAAGAGTGTTCAGTGTCAGCCAAAGGGCCAGATAGGAGTGGACCAAGGGTCCACAGGGTTTTGCTCTGGGGAGACAGAAGACATCCCATTTGTTGTATCAGAGACTCACGCCAGATCAAGGTCCAGAGCAGCCTGTCCTTGGGAGGACACTCAAGGGCATGGTGTCAGGGAAATAGTGCACGTGCCCCACACCATCCACAGCTGCACATGCGCACATGTGTTATTAGGGATCTATACAGCCCAGCTGGAATTATAATTATTTGGCAGGAGGATGTTGCTTATTGTCAGGAGCAGATCCTTTTTGGACACCTGGGTCATTGTCAGAGACTAGGGAGAGTGGGTGGAGAGGAAGGCCCTGGCTCCAGGGTGGCCGGGAGCATGTAGGACAGGAAAATAACCCTGGGCCTGAGCCTGTGCCCAGGCGGGGACCATCCAGTCATTGTGATCTTCTCAGGGCCCAGGCAGGCCCCCACCCTAGTGGTAACGAGGCAGAAGCAGCTGGAGGAAGAATGCTGTGAACTGGAAAATTCCAGGTCTCGGGATTAAAACCTTGGTCTGGGCTGGCAGATCCCTAGGCCCCTGTCCCTCCTTAGCCAGGCCCCTGCTGTGTGCCCTTGGACAGGGTCGCATCCTTCTCTGGGCCTCCCTTTATTCATCTTATCTTGAGAAGATCCCCCCAAGTTCCTGGGCCCCCTCCAGCTCTGAAACCCTGCAGCAGGAGGGGAAGGCTGTCTTTCTTCAGAGCAGAGGAAGGGGGCCAGAAATGGGCCACAAAGGTGATCACAGGTGTTTCTGGGTGCTTATGTCTTAGGACTCGCTGAGCACTTTATACTCATTTAATTCTCATAACACCCCCTGACATAGATATTAGTATCTCCATTTTAAAGATGAGGAAACAGGCTCAGAGGAATCAAGCAACTTGCCGAAGGCCACACAGCCCTAAGTGGCTGAGCTGAGACCCACACCTTCCACACGTTAGACTGTAGACAGGAAGAGCCCGCATCCTTCCATGGGGCAGGGCTGACATCTCATCCTCCAGCTACTTAGAGTGAACTGACCTGGAATTGCCTGCCCTCCACAAAACCCTGCCTCTGGCCCAAACTGAAAACATCATTCTTGCATTCCACAAATATTTACCCAGGTCCTAACATGAACCAGGCCCAAAGCAGAGAGGCCGTGGGAGTACAGTGTAAAAGGGACGTCCACACAGAATTTAGTCTTGCTTCTGCTTTCTAGCTGTGGGACCCTCAGCCACAGGTGGCCTCAGCCT